AAAACGAGGAAAGGCCTGCCGCTGCCGCCGCCCCAGCCGGCGGGCGCTCCTGCAGACGCACCGTCGGAGATCCCACAGCCGGGAGTGCCGGGCTGGCTCTGGTCACAGTCACAAGCATCGTAGTGACAGATCTGTGTGTGCGTTTATTGCACGCGGGAGTCTGTGGCCCTTTGCCCGAAGGTTGTGGTGGTCTTTTTTGCTGGGTCGCTCATCTGCTACACGTTCTGGTTTGTTTGTCTTGCCTGGTGTTACTGGTTCTGATTTTGAAGGACAAATCAAAATTATGGTGTGGACGCCACGTCCACCTTGTACTATTCCCTCTGGTCAGTCAGTGGCACAGCTTTTGTTATTGCCATTCTCTGTCCCCGCTGCTACTGATTGCAAGATGGGGCAAGGAGGTTTTGGGAGTACTGGTCACCCACAGCTATTTCGGATCTGACAGGTAACTGCTGGGCAGCCACGTTTAACTGTCCTTATAAAAGGCCGACCTTTTGTGGGGATGGTTGACGCTAGTGCCGATGTCTCGGTCATGAATCAGTGTGATTGGCCGCAGAACTCGGCCCGGGTGCAAGGATCAGTTTCAGGCACAGGGGGAGCTCGGATCCCACTTCAGAGCGCTCTGACTCTTCCGGTGGAAAGCCCTGAGGAAAAGCAAGGTGTGCTGAAACCCTGTGTTCTGCCCTTTCCATGTACTTCATGAGGGAGAGATTTTTTGTCTCAGTGGCACATGGTTCTGTCCGTTACTCCATTGTGCCAAAATTTATCAGCAGGGCCACGGACGTCCAGCCTTGACTCAAACTGAGGTATCTGACTGGCACTCCGGTTTGGGTAGATCAGTGGCCTTTAAAGGGCAAAAGGCTGGAACAGGCACAGCGATTGGTACAGGAGCAGTTACTGTGTGGGCACATAGAACCTTCTATCAGTCCTTGGAACACACCTATATTTGTTATACCGGAAAAGTCTGGGAAATGGTGTTTGTTACAAGATCTTAGGGCAGTGAATGCTGTCGTGAAGCCAACAGGGGCCTCACAACCTGGAATTCCAAATCCTTCTATGATTCCTGCAGAATGGCCTTTGTATGTGATGATATTAAGATTGCATTTTTACCATATTGTTGCATCCTGATTACTGTGCACATTTTGCCTTTTCAGTGCCTTCCATTAACAACCAAGGGCCCATGCAAAGATACCAGTGGGTGGTACTGCCACAAGGAATGATGAACAGCCCCACCATATGTCAGATTGTGGTGGACAGTGCCATTTCTCCCATTAGGGTAGAATTTCCACATGTAACAATTTATCAATATATGGATGGTATACTGTTAGCTGCTAAACAGTGAGCAGAGTTGTTACAAGCACTGACTCAGCTGAAACACTCTCTGGCAACTTATGGCTTGCAAATAGCACCTGAAAAAATCCAAGAGGAGGCACCCTGGAAATATTTGGGTTAGCTGCTGTATGCAGGTACAGTTTTCCCTCAACATCTCCCTATTGCTACCTCCATTAATACTTTACATGATCTGCAGAAGTTTTTAGGAACCATCAATTGGATTAGACCGTTACTGGGGACCACTACAGAGAAATTGTCTCTATTTTTTTCTCTTTTGAAAGGTGAGGCTGACTTAATGTCATCTCGATGCCTCACAGCTGAGGCGAAACAAGCTTAGGCCACGTGGCCCTGGAACAGGCTGCCCAGAGAGGTTGTGGAGTCTCCTTCATTGGAAACATTCAAACCTGCCTGGACACGTTCCTGTGTGATGTGCTCTAGGTGACCCTGCTCTGGCAGGGGGGTTGGACTAGATGATCTTTCGAGGTCCCTTCCAACCCCTAGGATTCTGTGGTATCTGTGATGCTTTTACCAGAACAGTGACTACTGTATTGTACATTGTCATCAGTGTGATTTCCTGAGGCAGGTTGAGAACTCAGCAACTGTCAGGAAAGGATCCTGATTGTATTTATTTCCCATTCACTAAGGAGATCTTTGACACATTGTTACATGAATCGCTGTCATTGCAAGCTGCCTTCGCTGATTATTTAAACATTTCAAAATTTTCTCTCCCATGGCACAAGTTGCTTCAGTCTTTGTCAGATTTGCCTTTGCAGCCTCGTGTATTGGCGTCTGTGATACCATTGGAAGGTGCCCGTACAGTGTTGATGGCTCAGGGCAATCACACAAGGCTGTGGTGGTTTGGTGACCGGAAACAGGTAAGGATTGGCAATCACCTATAATTACAGTGGAAGGTTCCATTGAAGTGGTAGAACTGTCTGCCGTACTCCATGCCTTTTCCCTTTTTCTCTCAGAGCCTTTGAATATTGTTGCAGATTCTTTATGTGTGGTGGGTATTATACAAAGGATAGCTGACTCCTTCCTTAAGGAGGTTCACAGTCACCAGTTGTTTGACTTATTTGTACAGTTAGCAAAGACCCTGAAAAGCCGCAAACGTCCTTATTTTATCTTGCATATTCAGTCTTGTACTACTCTGCCTGGACTGATAGTGGAGGGTAATCGTGTTGCAGACAGTCTCACTATGGCAATTTCAGCCTCTCAAGCCTTTGAGCAAGCACGTCTGTCTCATGATTTCTTTCATCAAAATGCTAGTTCCCTTCACAAAATATTTGGCCTTACTATGTGGCAGGCTAAGGACATTGTATGTGCCTGTGCTGACTTTGACAGTCAGCTAACTCCAGAGTCTCCTACCCAAGGTGTGAACCCTAGGGGATTACACACCAATGAACTATGGCAAACTGATGTCACGCATTTTCCCGCTTCCGGTTGTCAAAAGTATATTCCTGTTACAGTAGACACCTTTTCTGGTTTGTGGCTGCTACTGTGGCCACTGGAGAAAAATCTTGGATGTCTGAAAGCATTGGCTTCATTGTTTTGCAGTTTTAGGAGCACCTCATGAAATCAAGACCGACAACGGTCCTGCCTATATCTCTCGACCCACGCAATATTTTTTACAGCAATGGGGAGTGTCCCATGTGGCAGGCATTCCCCACTCCCCAACGGGTCAGGCTATTCTTGAACGTACTCACAGCACCCTGAAGGCCATGTTGTTAAAACAAAAAAGGGGGAATTCCCTTTCACCACAAGAGCGTTTAGATAAAGCCACATATGTACTTAATTTTTTAAATCGTTCTGGCACACGTCTGCTGACATCTGCGGCTGAGCGTCAGTTTGGGCACACTTCAAATTTTGCTGCTAGGCCCAAGGTCTGGTATCGCGAATCAGGGAATCCTGAATGGAATGTTCCAGTGGAGTTAATAACTTGGGGGAGAGGGTATGCATGTGTTCTTCTTCCCTCAGGACCTCGTTGGCTGCCAGCAAAGAACGTGAAACCCTACCATGTGCTGGAGTGACAGATTTCAGAACCCAATCCCCAAGATGAATCCCCTGCAGATCAGGATAAGACCTCTTTGCCAGAGACCTAAGCCACGCAACTGAGCAGACAATGTAACGTGGGGGATCATCAGTCTTTGTTTTCATTAGCTGAAGACTGGGCTGTAGTGAATTTTAACAGCTCCTTTTTGTACAAATGTGTGCAACTTCATATATGCTAGCTGGTTTTGCCCATGAGAATATGTCTTTATTGAATATCTCTTTTATAATTACTTCATGATTAATCTTTAATATCAGCAGTTATTATATTGGTCAATGTATTGTTGATTTTGATGCTTTAGTAGAATCTGTTGTATAGGTTCAGATTAGTGTTAATGTCTGAGTATGAAACAGATAAAGGGGCATCACTGACCCCAGACCAAATTTGTTGCACATGCATGTTTGGCCTCGTGTTATACAACCTGGGCAGGATGACTTATGACACATTGGCCCCAGGTGTCAGAACCTCATCCCCCTTGTAACAGGTATATAAAAAGATTTTTTCCCCGAAATTGTAATTTGTAATACTGCTTTGTATAGGGAATTAATAGCTTAGTAGATTGCATCTGCATTGTGATTGGGAACGCATCAAGAGGGTGGGAGAACACCATTGGTGAGAAATTGTCTTTGGCTGGTCTCTCACAGTCACTGGAATCTTCAATACGCTGCTGCATCTTGTAATGATACTATTAATGCAAATCCGTATGTAGTTGTCATTGTATTAACTTGTTACTGTAGGAGACAAGTGAAGCTCTGCATTGATAAGCAAGTGAAAAGACTGGGACTCGCCAAGTGCCTCCTTCCACAGTCAAGGGCAAGACTGGGTTGGCCTCTGTGTTTGCCACCAAGAAGAACCTGAGCTCCGCTGCTGGCTGCAACCCAGCAGGCGTTGAGCTGTGGAGACACATGCCATACCAGACCTTGATGTGAGGGATGGCCTCCTCTGTTATAAGAGGGCCATCCAGGAGGGGAGGGCAGGCTACAAAGCCTGCAGCTGGCATGAATTATCCCATGGTTGGGCAGGCTACAAAGCCTGCAGCTGGCATGAATTACCCAATGGTTGTGTCTGGACATCCATTCAACGATTGCAACACACCAAAGCCCAGTTTGTGTCCACCCTCATCTTGAATGGCTATTGAAAAAACAAAAAAGGGGAGATGTGGAGAATAGCCGTGGGAAAAGAAAAAGGGCCTCATCTATCTGTAAAGAAGTAGATAAAACAATATGAGACCAGCTAAGAGCCAGGGCTTGTTGTGAACAGCACTGTGAATGTTGCCAAAAATCAGAACACTGTTTATCCTTCTGGCACACGTCTGCTGACATCTGCGGCTGAGCGTCAGTTTGGGCACACTCCAAATTTTGCTGCTAGGCCCAAGGTCTGGTATCGCAAACCAGGGAATCCTGAATGGAATGTTCCAGTGGAGTTAATCACTTGGGGGAGAGGGTATGCATGTGTTCTTCTTCCCTCAGGACCTCATTGGCTGCCAGCAAAGAACATGAAACCCTACTATAAGCTGGAGCTCATGTGTCTGTTGCATGACTGGCTACATCCTGGGAACCAAGGACTCTGTACGTGCCATGGAGCAGGTGTGAATGCTGTTTACATTCTTTGTACCCTGGTTGCTTATTTCTCAGTTCCCACTGTAAAAGTTTATAAAGGAGCATTTTTTCTCATAATAAACGATTCCTTTTGCTTCTTACCCTGGAGTCCGTGTCACAGCTACCACACATGGGTATGATTTATTTTATTTCTTATTATATACTTTGTCACCTCTTTTCCTGATTGCTGGCACAGGCTTTGCTGATAGCTTGCTGATGAGTTTTAGTCATGGAATCACAGAATCAGAATGTCTTGGGTTGGAAGGCACCTCTAAATGTTGTCTAGTCCAACCCCTCTAGAATAAACAGGGACATCTTAATGATTGATATTTTAGTGATTGATATTTATATTGATAAAACACTTAGAGTTGCTAGTATATGAAAAAATACAGGGGGTATTCTTACTTTGTCCATTGCTACACTGACTTAAGTGCATGGTAGTATTTCCTTATACCAGCTGAAGACCTGTCTATCTAGGAACAACTGGTTTGGGGCAGAAAGTGTTTCAAGAACACAAGTGGATAAACAAAGAAACCAACCCACTCCCTGGTACAACATTATGCAGAAAATTAAATCCAAGGACGTAAAAAAAAACCCACAGCTATGATATGAACACTGGAGTGTAGTTTTTGAGTAAAACTACAGGTGTTTTTTTGTTTGTTTGTTTTGTTTGGGTTTGGTGTTTGTTTGTTTTTTGTTCGGTTTGTTGTTTTGGGTTTTTTTTTCTTTTTTGTGTTTTTTTTTTCTTTTTCTTCCCCTTTTTCATCCTTGTCTTGGTCCTCAGACTCTGTTTGAAAGTCTTTAAAACTAAAACAGCATGATCTAAAGTGTTCCTCCCAACTAATTAACCTTAGCCTGGTGATATGGTCAGTTGTTTACAGCACTGCAATTCATCACTGCAGAAGGGTGTGCAGCTGGAGACAGGCCTGACCCAAAACCCAGGTCTGAGCATCTGCATGCTCCCCCCAAAAAGGGGAAGTGAGGTATGTGGTACATCCTTCAGAACTGAACACTGACTTTATTGTGAGCTCAGATCTAAATCCAAGCAAACAGAACCTGTTCCTTCAAAATATTAAATTAGAAATGTTGGGCTGTGCCAGCAGAGGATGAATTGGAAAAGGAAACCATGCTGACAATACTGCACTTAAATACTTATGCTCCAAGCCCATCCTGTTTCCAATATCCTTTCTAATTTGAGTAAGACATTTGGTGAGGGCTATGTGTATGTACATAAGATGGACTGTGTTTGCAATTTTTTAACATATGTATGAGTTGGGCCTAGGTTCATCAGTTGTTTACTTCAGTATCACTTGACCGAGTTGTATTGTGATTTTTTGCCTCATCTACAGAGCTCACATTCCTTTTTCTTTAGGGAATCTATAGTCAGCATTCAAACAGTGATTTGGGAGTAAGTCCATGGAAGTAAGGGCGTTGGAAGTGGGCAGCTGGAAAGTCATGAGGAAAGAGAAAGAATCAGGCAGGTTTCTCCCTAGGTAACTGCTTGCACTAGCGCCTGCAGAGCCTGGGGCTTCTAGCCCTCTGTGCTGAGTGCTGGGCTGCCGTGCTGCCTAGTGTTCCTGGTTTGAGCCAGGATGAAGCCAATTTTCCTTTTACTGATTTTTTTTTTTCCCTTCAGAAAGCTTGAAAAGTGTTTTCCTATAAACTTCAGAACATCAGTGTGTGCAAGGAAGTGTGTGAATGTTAAACTTGACAGATTAGGAACACAGGTGTGTGTGCCAATAGATGTATGTGGTATGAATATTAATGCTTCTAGTTCCTACCTTTTACACATAGTGTGTATTAAGGGATGTGAAAGTTCTTCCAGCTGCTGCACTAAGGTGTTTTTTTCCATGTTGTGCCTGGTTATGGTATTCCTGAAAAAGGTAAATTATACAAGCCAGCTGGGATTTGGCATTTATCTTGTACTCTAACATGTCAGCGCTATAAAAGGTCTAAAGCCTCTTCAGTTGCAGGAGTGTTCAGATTTGTGAGACCAAATGTCATTTATCCTATTTTCTGATTTCTTCCTATAATCCAGTGATTTGTGATCCTCCAGCAAATGTGCAGACCAAACTGCTCAATTTACAGGAAAAGGCCTGTAAAATGAGAGAAGCCTGGACCTGAAGTTGCAAGTTTGTATAGTTTAGGGAGGAAAAGGTGGAGGAGGCTGGTCCTGTTGCTGTTTTGCTCAACACAAAGCTTCAATTTCCTTGACAAATGATGGACACTGCCTCCAAAATTGGAACTCTGATCCCAAAGGGGCTCTGTGTTATTATAACATAAAGAATGGTTATTAAACTGTCAGAGGGTTAATAGTTTCATCTTAATAATCTTGATTGATGGTGTACATTTCACCAGTGCTCCACAAGCCCACAATGAGCTTTAAAATATTTTACTATTGGCTTGTCCTTCATTTCCAAGGAAGTCTAAGGAGAACTCTTCTTGCTAATAAATTCTTTATCATAACTTAGCTGGTTTTCCCCTTATAGAAGGGAAATATATCCTTTGCTGTGCTGGCTGATTAATTGGTCTAATTTTATTAGGAAAATTAAATTCTCCTCTCTATCTAGGAAGTTATTTAAAGAGGTCTGAGCAAAATCCTTGCCCATAAGCCTGATGACTCTTCTGCATAAGTGTCTCTATGCTTTATTAACTTCACACTTTTAAAGCAATTTCTGTCTGAAGGATTCCCTTCAACTTTGGAGGCCACTTGTCTTCTGTTCTCAGAATTCCAGGATGACAAATGGGATGTCAGATATGACTTGCTGTAAGATCTTAAGGGATTCATATAGGGTAGCTCTTACTCTTACCTCAAAAAGCTCTGTATTAAGTAACCAGTAAAGCTGGCAAATAACAGCCTTACAACAGGCAAAGTAGCTATACTTTTAGCTGAAGTATTCTTAAAATATCATTGATCATTAAATGAGAAAAAAAGAACTAATAAAATAGATGTGTGTATAAATACGTGTGGGAGTCAATCCCAGTCATGGAAATTATAGTATACAACTAAGAATTAAGATAAAGGAGAGTCTTGGTAATTTCAAAACAATACAAACCAATGCTTTGCTTCTCTCTACTTAGACTTGTATCAGAAAAGGAACCTGTCCTCTGTATTTCTGTCCCCAGAAATACAGACCTGACAAAGTTGGACAAGCATCTTCATTTGTATGTATCTTTTGTACCTTCCAAAATTAATGTAGACTTAATCCAGCAACACCAGGTGGAGGGCCTTTGCTAATTTACTTACTCTATTCTAGCATCATCAATGGAGGTTGCAACAGTTTGCGGTGAGGTGGGACTTTGATATAAATCCTCACACTTCAGATGATAAACCAGTTTGCAATAACCTGGAGTTTAGGAATAAATTTTCTTGCAGGTTTAT